ATCGTCTTTTCGCAAGTTATGGATTTTTTGGGTATAGAAATTATTTTTCCTAGTTTTAATCTCTATCTGGACCTTCCGTCTGTAATGGCGCCACAATTGCGCGTCGCCAGTGTGGAAAGCACGTTGGCGTTCTTTAATAAGTTGCTTTATGTGCCCAGTAATCCATGGTTTGTCCGTGGGATGAAATTTGGTTGTGTTCACTGGAAAAAAATGATCGAATGCAGTGTTCAGATCATTGGTAAAAGATGACGCTAACTCATCCGACGATGGATTGAGTCCGAGTCCACTAAACCATTTATTCCTGGTTGACCATAAACCAAAACCGTTCAAACCTGACTGAGGATACCGACGCACAGTGCGCTTTGTACACGTATTATTATTATCCTTAAAAATGTCTTTTGGGATCCACATGATTACGTTATGGTCCGACGTTCCAAGTGGAGCAGAAATATCCGGTGTTTTGTAAAAGGATTTCAAGTTCGTAATAATATAGTCTAAGATTGAATCTTGTCTAGTCGGACGCGTGACGACTTGCTTAAGGTTGTGACTTGTAACTAAATCCTGTATATTGAGACGATTAAAATCGCCTAAAACGACTATGCCACAATCAGGGTATTTAGAGCGTATAGTATCAATAGAGGACACAAGGTAATCGTAAATTTTGTCCGGTGGATTATACACTACACATACTGCGATTGCAGATAGCGGTCTCGGTAGGCGTGGTGGTCGAGCCCACAACCACATACACTCTAGATTTAAATCTTCTAATTCCAAGTATCGCGTAATGGATATCTGCTGAGACACATAAACGCAAACCCCACCCCCACGGCCATGTGTCCGGTCCTTACGATGAATTACATAACCACCAATCGATATTTGATCGTCCCCTATCTCATCAGTCAATCAAGACTCCGTAATTGCGGCTATATGAACTTTGTTGACGGACATAAATGCTGCAAGTTCATCAACCTTTCCATTAATTGAGCGTGCGTTCAAGCAGCAAATTCTCGGGAGTATAGCTTTATTTTGTTTTTTGTTTTTTTCATTATAATTATTTGTGCATCTAATACGGATTAGATTGTTATATTTGAAACATATATTCGCTTATAGCTGGTCATAATATATGTATGATTTTGAAATTTATTGTAATGTTTGAACCTAAGATGGTATTGTCTTCCTCTTGATATAAATATATTTTTGAGTTCCGTTCATTATTAATACGTAAAAATAGTCTGTTGAGTAACGACATCTAAACTGCAGTATCAAGTCAAAATGTTTTGTTTTAGTGAATTGTATCACATACTAAATTACTAATGTATCGAAATGTACCAAACCGACATCGCCGGTGTAAATTCTGCTTTATTTACTCCAAAAGTAATTTTTAAACTGCCAATTTTTTACTGAAGTGTTTGAATTCTCGAGCCACTCTATATGAACGGGTTAGATTAAAACGCGGATGCGGAACGGAACGGAACGGATAAGGTTAAAATGCGGAACGGAACGGATGGGGTTAATTAAAATGCGGAACGGAACGGATAGGGTTAAAATGCGGAACGGAACGGATGGGGTTAAAATGTGGAACGGAACGGATGGGGTTAAAATGCGGAACGGATATGGTGTTAAAATGCGGAACGGAACCGATATGGGGTTAAAATGCGGAACGGAACGGATATGGGATTAAAATGCGGAACGGAACGGATATGGGGTTAAAACGTAACCTGAAGTTTAGGCCCTAATTCTAAATAGGGTCTGACACAAAACTTGTCTAGACCGTGAGACGCCCACATGTTATTTTTAGACATAGTCATGCAATACGATTGACAAGTGTTGTAGATTTCATTGCACAAAAAATTTATATTATCATGAACATGTCCGCAGAGTGTGCATTTTGCTTTTTAATTAAAAAACAAAATGCACACTCTGCGGACATGTTCATGAGAATATAATTTTTTTGTGCAATGAAATCCACAACACTTGTCAATCATATTGCATGACTATGTCTAAAAACATAGGCGTACCGGGCGGGGGGGGGGGCGGGGGGGGGCGGTAGCCCCCCCAGTTTGTTGGGCAGTCGGGCAATATTCGATCAACAGTCGGGCAACTTTTGTTTGCAATAAAAAAAAAATGGGACAAATTCTGTAAATTTTGTCTAAAATTAACTAAATTTGGTGGCAGGAAAATTTTTTTGACCCCTAAAATGGTACACTGACCAAATGTGGGCGTCCCACGGTCTAGACAGGTTTTGTGTCAGACCCTATTTAAAATTAGGGCCTAAACTTCAGGTTACGTTTTAACCCCATATCCGTTCCGTTCCGCATTTTAACCCCATATCCGTTCCGTTCCGCATTTTAACCCCATCCGTTCCGCATTTTAACCCCATCCGTTCCGTTCCGCATTTTAACCCCATCCGTTCCGTTCCGCATTTTAACCCCGTCCGTTCCGTTCCGCATTTTAACCCCATCCGTTCCGTTCCGCATTTTAACCTCATCCGTTCCGTTCCGCATCCGTTCCGTTCCGCATTCGCTTCCGCGTTTTAACCTAACCCCTATATAAACTACAATAGTAATAAATTAAAGTATATTTATAGTTATTACTCACACTGCATCACGCACACGGATTTCAGAAAATATGATTGGTTGGATTGGAAATAAATTATCATAGTAATTAGTGGGCGGTTATCAAATTTCCTTGAGATTGTTGCAGGCTCTCTTTATTCCTTGAGCAGGCTAATTTCAGGCCTGTCACTTGCACCGAAATCCAACGTATTATTATGGCAATGCCAAAAAATAAATCACCAGGCCCAGACAAGATAAACATGCGTATCATTAGAGACTGTTTGCCAGTCTGATCTTGGGCCCTCTTACGCACATTATAAACTCTTCCCTGCTGACAGGCGTGTTCCCTAACGAATGGAAATTATCCGAAGTAACACCACTACATAAAGATGGTGATAACGAAGTTGCCTCGAATAACACTCTTAGAAATATTATGTCAAAAGTTTGTGAGAGAGTCGCTCTAGATCAGTTCAGCTCATATTTAACAACCAACCATCGTTTATCACCTCATCAAAGCGGAAACAGGAAAGCCCACTCCACCGAGACTCTAAACATTCTCGTAAGTGACACAATAGGGCCATTTATACGAGACAAAATAAGACGCGACTTACATAAGACGCGACTTAAATAAGCGGAGTTATCGCATAAATGGTTCTCTAGGGCTTTATCCTTACTTACTTGCTATAGCTATAATGTTGTTTCGTTTTTTTTTTTTAATATGCAAGGCTAATAATTTTAAGTTGTTTCAAGTTTCTGGCATGTGTAGTTAAACTTTTTGTCCAAAATTTCTTATTTAAGACGCGACTTAGATAAGAACAGCTAAAAGGCCTGTTCTTATGTAAGACGCGTCTTATCCAAGACGCGTCTTACATAAGAATTTTGTACCTTTTATACGACAAACTCGCGTCTTATTTA